GCTAGGGATTCCTTCCTGAGCTGTGTGCAGTCTACCAGTAAGCATCAAAAGCATTCTTCATTTCTCTAACAGCACATTTTTTTTTTTTTTTTTCTGAGACGGAGTCTCGCTCTGTTGCTGAGGCTGGAGTGCACTGGCACGATCTTGGCTCACTGTAAGCTCCGCCTCCCGGGTTCACACCATTCTCCTGCCTCATCCTCCCGAGTAGCTGGGACTACAGTCGCCCGCCACCACGCCCGGCTAATTTTTTGTATTTTTAGTAGAGACGGGGTTTCACAGTATTAGACAGGATGGTCTTGATCTCCTGATTTCATGATCCACCCGCCTCGGCCTCCCAAAGTGCTGGGATTACTGTCATGAGCCACTGTGCCCGGCCATCTCTTAGGGATTTTAACGAGTTGTTGACTTTTGAGTTTGGTAGCTTTTTACTTACTATTAGAACCGAGTGACAAATTTCAGGCATGTTATATGCCTGAAAGGAAACCAGAAATCTCTAGGAAATGACTGGAGAATGTGAACTCCATAGTAGGTTGAGGATGGAGTCACGAGTGAAATGGGTGAAATGAGCCCATGGGCTTTGGCACGGCAGGCCTGTCCAACAACTGACAGCCTGGTGAGTCAGTGCAAAGTTTAGAACAGTGACAGCAAACTAGCATGGCTGAATACATGTGGCATCCAGTCTCAGGCTGGCTGTCCTCACTCATTCCTGGACATAGGCCAGGCTAACCATGGGAGGAATTTAGTTTATGGTTTAACTTTGAAGCAAGAATGATAATAGTTCCTCCATAACACTAATACCCTTATTTTGCCAAGGGATTGCCTTTGTAAAACTGGTGAAAGTCCATGAGAGTAAGATTATAGGAGGGAAGTGAATTCTGCTAAAATGTAGGCACAGTTTTTATAATCCCTTACTGCTCAAATGTCATTTGGCCAGAGTTTACAAAATTTGTAACTAATTACTCCTATAAATAACATCACTATTGTAGAACCTGAGATTGGTCTTTTGAGATGTTTCTTATTCTTTGCATTCTGGCAACCGGCTGACCTCATCCATACCCATGACTAATGGTTCAGCCAGTCCCGTGGTCCCCACCTAGAGGCAGATTCAAGCAGAAACAGATCATTTCTTGTAAATTTGTTTGAGTTCTTTGTAGGTTCTGGATGTTAGCCCTTTGTCAGATGAGTAGATTGCAAAAATGTTCTCCCATTCTGTAGGTTGCCTGTTCACTCTGATGGTAGTTTCTTTTGCTGTGCAGAAGTTCTTTAGTTTAATTAGATCCCATTTG